CAACACAAGCTTACCAGAATGGTCTCGTTGACGTGATTGAAGGCGACGCTCAATTTCGAAAACGTTCCACGGTTTATTTTTCGAGGTACCTCAAGCGTACGTTTCAGAGTGCCGTCCATTGTTATGAAAAGCATGAAGACCTTTTGCTTGATATCTTTTAAAAATGTGAAAATGATTTCGTTTGTATCGGATACGGTCAAGCTAAACTCGTCGTACATTCCGTCAGGGCTTTCCTTCTTGAAAGGAATAAGGAATTTGTAATCATCCGTTGCATTTGTGCTATCACAAACGTACACAGTTCCTTCGCATTTGCAGAAGATAACCAACACGCCATCTTTAGCGAGGCTCATTTGTGGATTCACCAGCTGTTTCTCGATCAAATCGAGACGTTTCTCCGCCGTTTCATTGCCGTCAACATCAAAAGTTAATAACGTGTATCGCGGCGGGCAGATTTTGTTGTGGGAAGGAATTTCCATGAGAATGAAAACGTTGTCATCTTCGTCAATTGCAATACAACGTATATTGTTACCGGCGATTCCCGGGGGAATGGTACAGAACAACTTGCTCTCGCTGTCTCTTCTCATAATCTCGAGACCGTCCAGTTTCTCGTTTGTCGATAAGATCTCCCTTTTGCTGGTCAGCGCAAAATCATACCAGTAAGGTGTCGTTTCGAACTTCCATAACCAAGGCACTTGTGTTTCTTTCTCTTCAATTCTTCGCTTCAAACTCCGGTTGTCCAACAGTGGGTGGTAAAATGTTTTGCCCACTGTGATTGTGGGCCAGCTTAGAAGACCAATCTTCAAGTCTGTGAACTTCATGATAAAGTCTAGAAGTAGTTCGTTCAAAGCTTGTATCGATTCCGTCTTCAGATTGGTTTTCTTGCGTGAAAAACTACCTCGCAAGCGAGATGTAATCCCATTACGAAATTCTAGCGCCGTAGAAAACATCGTTTGCACTCCAGGCAGGTCATGCAGCTCTTTCAGGTAGTTAAAACAGTCCTGGACGGCTGCCGTTGGCTCATGTAAACAAACAAGTATTCTGCTAGCGATGCGAAGTTTGCTGGCTACAATTCTTTCGGTTGTGCTGAGCGACATGTTGCGAAACGCTTCCTTTGCAAGTTTACTTGCTTCTTTTAAAGCTTTCACAGCCAATCTGAAATGCTTTTTTGAATCGATTTGTATGTTTTCGACAAGTTTAGAAATCTCAGATGCAGGTTTAGTCATATCATGCGTGACTGGCATCTGGTTGTCTGTTCCTGGTGTTGCATCTTCGACGTCAAATTCATTTTGTTCGAAGGCTTTCGAGGCCGTTGGTGGTGGTTGGTCTGCTTGTTCGTTTGATGTTTCAAGCGAACTGTACAATCTGGATATTCCTTCCTTGAAAAAACTCAGGCAGAAGAATAGATCTCTGGTCGAGGTATCCTCAAGCTTCGATCTAATCTGATCGATTTCTCGAACGATGATTTGTCGGTACTCTTCGTTCCTTGCTGCGTCGGTTTTATCCAGTCCGTCTGCAGCCAATTCTCGTTGATTACAACACAGTATCGCAACTGTAGTGTTTACTATATCTTCTATGTTTGCAGACATACTTTCAGCTGCGAGACAGACCTTTAAAACAAATATATAATACAGAATAGCCCTGTGACTTCCTGCTTGTTATACTGTTTGCTAATTCTTCGGCCTCGTTGAACCATATCCTATAAGACTGTGGCTGCATAAAGTCATGACATAGTTTGTCTGAACTGCCTGAAAAATATCAGATATCAGCCATTAAACAGCCAACGTTTATTGCACGCACGAATTTTAAGGCAGTTATGATAATACAAAACTAATATTGCTTCTTATATTGCATAACAAATGCCGTGAGGAATATAGGAATGTTAATTATGAATGTTATTCATTTAATTATGGTTGACGATAAAGGTTTATAATTTTTGTATTATATTTTGATCGAAAACTGAAATAGCGGGGGCACTTTGCCATTACTATGGTGATGATTCTTTGTGCTTTTTATGCACAATCAGAATTCTTTGTAGTTTTTATGCACAGTCTGTAATAAAAACAGTATGTTGCAGTAAAATTTGAAATGCTAGCTACATAATGGCCCACCACTCTGAGATATCTTTCTCAGGTAGTTCAGACACAAACCACGACAGCATATTGTAGAATATTACTTAGACTGGACCGCCAGGTTTGAGATATCTTTTTCAGATAGTTCAGACACAAACCGCGACAGCTTATTGTAGAATACTGCCTACACTGGACTACCACGTTTGAGATATCTTTCTCAGGTAGTTCAGACACAAACCACGATAGTTTTTTCCCCATGTCAGTTCCAACGCAAATCAAAATAGATTACTTTGTGCCATTTTCCATGTAGAAACACCCGCAGCAGCAGCTAGCCATAAATTATACAACCGCGTCTTAGTTGATTGGCGGGGAAAGGAAAGGATATCGCAGTAGTTAATTCCTACTCTCTGAACTTACATTTAGTGATCACGACTTTGTCCAAGAACAGGAGACAAGGCTTTTGATGATGTGTAAAAGAACTTTGTCCTTATCCGTGGGAAGGTAAGATCATTTGAGAGTGAAATTCATTTTCAATTATTAACTAGTAGCTATAGTTATTCTGGCCGGGGGGTTAATTCCCCGTGTTATTTTTCTCCCACTGGCATGCGGAAGAAAACCCGTCTAACTTCAGGTGAGAATCTCACCGATTTGGTGAGTTTCTGACAGTGAACGATAAAGACTGGAACGGTAGATGAAGGTTGTGTCATTGACTTATCTGGCCGCCATTGAAGCCGAATGGCACCAGTGCCAATCTCTGTTATTTTTGTCGGTGCGATGATCGACCGTGCAGACAAAAACAAAAAAAAAACGGAATGGAACTGGCGCCCAAATTCGGATTCAAAAATGGCGACCGAGTAATCATTTCAGTTTACATAGAGGTCACTGTTTTCTAAGGCAAACACTGATCTGATATTAGACTGGACATTGCAGCTATTCCTACGAAAATCTGTATAGTTACTTTATCCAGTGTATTATCGGATCAGTGGGTTTACTGCCTATTCTGATGAAGGCTTAACCACTGATCTGTTAGTGCACTGAATATCGCAACTATATATATACCTATATTTTTCAACGAGATAATCAACTCGCAATGCGGAAGTATTTTTGACTAAATTTAACACACATTTCGACCTAAATTTAATCCTAAGTAACACTATCGAGGGTAGTTCAAAACTTTGAAAACAACAGTGTTTCCATAACGAGGAATCGTACTGAATATGTGCTGAAAATTTGCTTCGAAAAGTCAGCCAAGTTTATGATCGAAAGTTTCACTTTGTTTTACCGATGTCAAACTAATATCACGTTTGAATTAATGTGTTTAGTAGTTAAATAACTATCTTTAAACAATCTTCGGGCGCCAACCTCCGATAAGTTTGATCATTTTTGTCACGTGAAATGCTTTCAAATCCAATGAAGATAAAGTTGCTTTGTCTAAAGTCACCAATATCTCTCCGTCGATCTGTTCCTCACGAAACTTGTCTATACAACATTCCGGCATATTTACACTTGTCAGGAGGCGACCAACCCCGGCCACACTCAGGTACGAAAGATCCGAGGGTATCTCGACAGAAGACGGCTGTTCAGAGCAGGGAATTGCAGAGTTGTCGTCGGAAATGCAATACTTTACTATGGTGTTTTTTCTTGGGGTCTTTTTCGCCGCTTCCAACGTTACACTCTCATTCCAGATTCCATTATTTTCGAATCTCGCCATCACGGCTTTAACAGTGATATTGTTGTCTTGTTGGGTTACCTGATTTTCAAGGACGGGCGCATTAAGAAAGTTCGTATTTCTGGCGTCCATTTAAAACACATGCAAATTGCAAATCGCAATTACCAGCCACTATAAACCCTTCGTTCTGTAAGAAAGCTCGATAATTCACGTTAACAACATAAACATGATGTCCAAAAAATCCCACCACCCAGGATTTTAAATCTACAGGGTTTCCAAAGGAGACCACATTTCTAAAGGCTCCTACTGTGAGGATTTGAAAAGTTTTGAAAAGCAAAACAAGCATATCCAGCTTATAATTAATGCTGGCAGGGAGGGGTGGGAAAGTAAGGTATTATTTCTGCTGATTTTACCAAAAGAGGTTGGATGATGTTGAAATTGAGTAGTTCCAAGATGGCGGTGGCTATGTCCCCGTGAATTTTTTTCATCCAAAACGAAAACTGGCTGTAAAAAGTGAGGCTAGATCTGACAATATATATTCTTTGATATGACGCCATCTCACGCGAGCGCAACGCCATTTTGACGTACAGACTGCGTACTGACAAAGGGAATAAAACCTCCTGTTATAAAACCAACCATTATGACTGTTATGATTTATTGTTGTTATTATAAACGTTCCTACTACAAGTTTGATAGGTTGTTATTATAATATAGCTCTCCTATAGTTCCTAAATTATTCGTAATGATATTGAAAGCAGACAGAGGAATCACACTTCCTCCCATGGAGAAAAACAACATACATAATAATATGTAAATACAACCGGGTCGCTTTTTCGAACCGTAATCTCACATGTTTCCACGCACGCAATTCGAGGTTGAAACACGCGTCCTGCGTCACGTTAAAACTCGCGTGAATCATTGACTCTATATTAAACGTTATGTGATTAATATAGCATACTAAGACGTGAAGTAAACAGAAAACTCGGACTTACTGGGTCTTGAGTTGATATACACTAGAATTATACCGCATTGTACTGTGCTGTACCCAAATGTAGCGAACTGCATGTATCCGATGTAAGAAATAGAAAACATTTTCCGTGTTTCTATACAATTTTAGTATACACCCAACTATTGTCTATTACAAATCCTACATTCTGATTGGCTACTCAACCATTGTCTATTCGTGATGGTGAACGTTTGGGGAAAATTCGCTCGCGCGACCGTATAAAATTACATTAGTTAAATTATTTTTTGGTGTAATTGCGGTGTTTCGATTATTTTCTCGAAATTAACATATCTAGGTACAGGGTGTATACTAAAACAATTAGACAACTCGTCTTCGCTTCTTGACCAATTAGCACGCGCGTACTATAAATGTTATATTATAATGTATTATATTAACGTTTAGCAGTGGCATAACACCACATCTTGGGTCCCCAGGTCAAAATATTAAAAGAGCCCCCTTGTGATAGCTATATTATGGGCGAATGTCCTTAGGTACCCCGTTAACCTAATTCTAGTGCAGTATATTCCGCACAGAACCCCCACTTAGGCCATAGGGCCCTTGATTCTGTCCAGTCTGAGTCTGAGTTTTGACTAAGCCTGTTTCGTCCATTCTAAACAAATACTATAAAGTAAATGTAACCAACGAAATACCTATGTTTCGTTCTCACTGATATTTGGTCGCCAGCCGCCGATAAATTCCCTCAATTTCGCCACATGAAATGCATTTAAACCCAAACAAAGTAAAGCTGTGTCGTCTAAAGTCACCAACAATTTACCGTCAATCTGTTCCTCTTGAAATCTGTTTACAAAACATTGCATGTTTAGGCTTCTCAAGAGTGTTCCCACTCCTGTCTCACTCAGGCACAACAGATCTTCGGGTATCGGCGCTGACGTTGGGCTTTCAGGGCAGGGACCTGGAGACTGGTCACTGGGGATAAAATCTCCCGCCTCCTGCGAGGAATGATGTTCTCTCACAGGACCCGCAATGCTGTCATTTTGTTGGCTTGCGCTGTTGGCTTCGAGATTTGCTTTTTTAATCAAAGCTGTGTTGTTGTCTTGTTTCGTTGTCGTATTTTCAGCAGAAATTTCGCCAGCTTTCAACTTTTGACGGAACAGTGGTTTGTCTGGGATGGAAGGTGGTATTTTATCACATTTAGGACTAACAATATCGTAAACGGGATCGTTCTCATTCGGACGATCAGTGGCTTCTCGGCAAGGCTCGCTGAGTGAATTCGAATGGAAACTAATAGCCTTTCGCGGGTTACTTTTCTCAGGTAAATTTTGATAGTTTGCACTGTTGGCTCCGAGATTTGTTTTTTTAATCAAAGCTGTGTTGTTGTCTTGTTTCGTTTTCGTATTTTCAGCAGAAATTTTGCCAGCTTTCAACTTTTGACGGAACAGTAGTTTGTCTGGGATGGAAGGTGGTATTTTATAACATTTAGGACTAACAATATCGTAAACGGGATCGTTCTCATTCGGACGATCAGGGACTTCTCGGCAAGGCTCGTTGAGTGAATTCGAATGGAAACTAATAGCCTTTCGCGGGTTACTTTTTTCAGGTAAATTTTGATAGTTTGCACTGTTCGCTTTGAGATTTATTTTTTTAATCGAAGCTGTATCGTTGTCTGGTTTTCTTGTCGTATTTTCAGCAGAAATTTCGCCAGCTTTCAACTTTTGAAAGAACAGTGGTTTGTCTGGGATAGAAGGTGGTATTTTATAACATTTAGGACTAACAATATCGTAAAGGTGATCGTCCTCATTCGGACGATCAGGGACTTCTCGGCAAGGCTCGCTGAGTGAATTCGAATGGAAACTAATAGCCTTCACCAGGTTACTTTCCTCAAGTAAATTTTGATAGTTTGCACTGTTCGCTTTGAGATTTGTTTTTTTAATCCAGCCTGTATCGTTGTCTGGTTTTGTTGTCGTATTTTCAGCAGAAATTCTGCCAGCGTTCGGCTTTCGTTTGTCGGCCAGTGGTTCGAATGGGATGGGAGGTGGTGGTCTAGAACGTCTAGGTGTGACAGTCTCGTAAACGTGATCCTCGTTACCCACGTGATCAGCGACTTCTCTGGAGGGCTCGCCCAATGAATCGAGACTAAAAGCCTTTCTCAATTTACTTTTGTCATGTGTTTCAAACCCGTCATCGCAAACCGGTCTCAGATGCACGGCCGACCGATTTGATGAACGAATCATCCCCTGCGAATGAATTTCTACACCATCCTTAATCCTGGAAGTCCCACCCGGCATCTCAGTGTTGGATCCCAAATCGTTTGTGGCTGCAGAGACATCACTGCCTCGTTTTAAAAATAACCTGGAAAGAGCTGATGAAAAATTATTTTTTCTCGCTATTTTTTCTCCACAGACATCAAGCCCCCTGATTAATGTAGAAGGCTTTGTCTTTTCGCTGTTTTGTTTGTCAGCTTCCGAAAGCATGTTGTCCATTGATCGCGCTTTTCCTCGAAGGCCGCTGTTGGTAGTTGGGAGATTGGAGGGGATCGTCACGGGACTCAAGGGTACATTTCTCCCTTGGCTCTGGTCTAAAGTCAAGAGTTCGTAATTATCACTGACGCCGCTATACACATTGTCAGTTCCGTGGTCATCTCCTATGAATAAATAATTGCACTGCTCGGACGGGGCTTGGAACTCACAAGTATTGCCCGTGACTACTGTTCCTTGATTAGTTACGTCGTTATCGTATATGTTTGACTCGCTTTCATCAGTCGCCTTTTCCTCCAAGACAAAACTAGTTACTTCTGGTCGGGCATTCCCGGCGTCCGTCCAGATACTGACATTTATTGACGTTATACGACGTCTTGACATCGTATTTATCAAAAAATTTCTTGTTCAAATCATACATCATCCTTATGTAAACTGGATCTTTATCAAGAAATTTTTTAGGAACAAAAACACTTAGCTGGCAATCTTTTGATATCACTGAGCATTTTTGACGATTCAGAAAATGCTGTATCGTCCCCGTCTAGGTCTGTGGCAAGCACTTGAACATCATATTGTGACTTTTGGCAAATAGTCACCTTGCCGAGGTTTGATGCCCATTTTTCATATTCATTTATTGGACCTTCTACGTTAGTCTCTTTTGACAAGAAGCAAACCTACAGAACAGAAATTGTGTCAAAAAAAGCCGAATAAATAAAGCCTAATAACTGTTGGCAAATAAACACATTTCACTTTCCATGCAGGTGATCTCGCGCCCATATTTTAACCAATAAGCGCTCAGAAGGGTTGTCGCGAAATAGAAATTCATTCTGCAGTATTTAATCAATTATATCTTTTGTTATTCTTTATAAAACAAGTCGAAATTTTATGATTATGTTTAGTTATAAGAACTGTAGCTCTAACATAAATTTGAAACCGAAATAAAGTATATTTCAAGAGATATTAAGTTGCTTCAATCGATGTTAGAAACTGTGAGACAGCGCGAGAACTGGGATTGACATTATAGTTGATTATGTTAATTTATGGAATAAAACAATAACACGTGCTTTTGAACAACGGAGTGAGCAGCTCATAGAAGAAAACCTCATGTATATTATTATATTTATAAATATTTTTAACAAAGCGAAGTGATTAGCTGTGAATTATTCAGTGTCTCTGGGAACATTCCCCACAATCCAGAAATCCTGTCGACAACTACTCCTACTTCTTTCCCGCCATTTCATATCATGATCACCAGATTATTACCAATAGCTGTAATATTTGAACCATCAGTAACACTAAAGCCCCGTACAGACGTCCAAGTTTTAGTCATGCAAGTCTAGTCATGCCAGCTTTACAACAAGGAGAAATATATATAATAATATACTCATTTTATACTCATCATGGCTCATGTTATCGTAAAATATACTCACATTATCGCAAAACTTTTCAAGAAAAAATTGTCAAATTTTTCGCGTACACATGCAGGAGCAAATAAAACTTTGCAAGGAAGACTCGTCAACGAAAGCTTGTTCGTCACTCACACGAGCAAGTGAATTGGTCAAGAAAACTTGTCAAGGAAAACATGCCCGTCTGTCTTGGCGAAGGCTACCTGTTTTGAATTGGCTGTATGCATTTAGTTTTAGCCAAAACCAGCCTTTTTATGTTATTGTCAAAGTTCATATAGGATTGCACGGATAAAATGTTAGGTATTTCACGCGCAATTTGTGATTAAACAAGAGAATAATATCGCAATATTCAACTCAATGAATATCCATCGTTTTTTTATGTATGTTTTGTATACTTTCGCTCGACAAGCATGCATTCTCCAGCAATCTACAGAAAATGATGATTCACACGTTTGTTGATACGACGGAATTTGTATCTTTAAAAAATACGTGAACGCGACGAAGAATTTAATTGAACAAAGATAACGTAAGACCGGGACTGTGATATCTCAAGTGCTCAATTATCTTGATAATGCGATAGATTGCGTCTAAAAGCACCGTTCAACCACTGTTCAAGCGCCGTTCAAGCGCCGTTCAAGCACTGTGTTATCTTTGCTTTATGTGTATTACGTCATATCGGGGTTCTAAGTACTGAATAAATCAGCCAAATATTATAATTACGATCTTTTTTTATCTGTCTACAACTAGCAAACGAAATCGCCGTCTATAAATAGGTTTAGCTCAGTGATTTATAAACCCCGGTGAAAATTACATCTAACGGCTAGTTTCCACTCAGGAAAAATCTCCTTTGGATCGGAACGGACAGGAAAATTTCCTGTGCGGTGAGTTCTCAGACGGCGTTTATACAAAGGAAACTATCCTGTCCGATCCGAAGGAGAATTTTCCTGAGTGGAAACTAGCCTTAAGAAAACACATTTAAAATTTCGAGTGAATAAACTCGCCTTAAAATCTGTGCAAATCTATATAAGCTGCAATATAGGGCTATCATTGAGAGCAGTATATGTGCTTGTGTATCCTCTTGTAGTAACACTGGATCAATAACAGATGCTCCTTACTGGATCCTATACGAAGAACAGTTTAGAACTGATAGAGCTATCCATGCAATATAAATAAAGTTAGTTTAGTTTAGGTTACTTTCCTCCTGTAGTAACATGCACTGGATCAATAAGAGATGATCCTCCTGCCTGGACCTCTAGGATCGAAGAACAGTTTAGAACTGATAGAACTATCCATATACAGTATAAATAAAGTTAGTTTAGTTTAGGTTTTCTCCTGTAGTAACACTGGATCAATGATCCTTACTATAGACCTCTAGGGAGAACAGTTTAGAACTGATAGAGCTATCTATGCAGCCAGTATATATAAAATTAGTTTAGTTTAGGTTTCCTCCTGTTGTAACACTAAATCAATAAGAGATTATCCTTACTGGACGTCTAGGAAGAACAGTTTAGAACTGATAGAGCTATCCAGTATAAATAAAGTTAGTTTAGTTTAGGTTTCCTCCTGAAGTAACACTGGATCAATAAGAGATAATTTTTACTGGACGTCTAGGAAGAACAGTTTACAACTGATAGAGCTATCCAGTATAAATAAAGTTAGTTTAGTAGGTTTATAGGCATGCAAATCGTAGACCTATAGGTTACAAAGTATTTGCTAGAAATGTTCAAGCATCAAGCCAAGGAAACGAAAACCGTGTGAGTTACTTCATCGACACTCGCTGCAAAACATTTAGAACTTGGGATTTACAAATGCAAATTTTCAACTTAGAAGGAACTTTGACAGTGTAAACTTGGGCCTAAATAGCGTTTTATGTGTGTATGTATGTAATGCTGGAGCCGCTTGTTCGAAAGACGTTTAGCTTAAACGGTGGATTAGCCAAAATTTAAAAATACTCTCATAGATCTTGCGAATGATTGAACCTGCATCTTATGCATTTAATATGTACTTCCATTGACAATTAACTATTCACATCGAAATAAGTTTCAGCTTAGTTGTTCGATAAATAGATGATTTTGTTATCCACCGTTTAAGCTAAACGCCTTTCGAACAACCGGCCCCAGTTGTATTTGTAGGTAAACAAAATTGCATTCTCGACCATTTCAAAGTAGCTTAGATTCATTAAAAGCGAACGAGAGGAAATAATACGCCAGAAACTGCAGCAACAAGTAAAATATAAGTGAAACTTATTTTATATATATAAAGTATTATACATCAGCTCCTGCATGCCCGCTGTAGTTCAAGATATTACGCAGTAAATAATGTGCTGTTTTATGTATAATCTTAGGTATAAATATAGCTGTCACTCAATTTTGGAGTGACACTGACTTTTGGTACTGACTTAAGATATGTTTGTCATACTTTTAAGAGATCTTTGGGGCTGCTTTCCTCTGTCGCGTTTTTTGCATGCATGCACGTATGCCAGAATAAACAAATCAACAGAATGCAACCCTTAATTACCCTATACGCATCTATTCAATCGTTGATTTCAAAAGAATAATTTGATTTTATTTAAATCCTTAATAGACATCCCTATAACGCTACTTATACCTTTATTGGCAAGCCAAATTCTCTGACAGCACTTTCCAATGTAAACACGCGATAGTCCAGCAATGCTTCAAACTTTATAGGACAATTGAACGGTAGTGGCTCCCTTACATCTTCGAATTTCACCAGGAGATTCTCTGTGTCGATGTATTCGATTTTCGCTGTTGATCCAAGCTTGAAGTGCCGCTCGACTCCTTCGTTCTGCTCATTTTCTTTAACGCGGAAGTATTTAACGTCTGGATAAAATCGTGGCATGTCACAGACGTATACTGGATCGTATTTGCAGTACTTCTGGAAAGGATAAACTAAGAGACTAGATTCGCATTCCGCTGGGATCGCTATACGTCTTTTGTGGGAATCTATGCCTAGAAATCTCTGCCTCATACGTATTGTCTGAAGCATGAGAATTTGCCCGGCTTCAAAGCTGCACGCATTGCTATTTCCGTAGTATCCTTCCTCGATGCGAACCAAGTTCGGAACTTTGTATTTACTAAAAAATTCACTCAACGGACATGCTATATCGTGCCATGATAGAGAAGCGATCCATTTGTGTGACTCCATCGCACCTGAAGTGCGACGTCGCGTCTGCAAGTTGTTTGAAATAGTTCTGCATATAAGTATACACAATTTGCCTGTCTCAAAGTCCCCCGCAACTTCAGAAATTTCCAGTACAATTAGATTTCAGTGGGTTTACAAATGAGGACAATCGATATGAATGAATACAGGCATGCGTGCGTGAAATTTTTTTCAAAAACGTTTTTCGTGATAATTGATTTGCAAATCTCTGTCATCTTCGCAAGATGCAATTCATTCCATTGTTGTATTATTGCAAAAATTCTGCTCAAAAAACCTCGTTTATTTAAAAACATTAAACATTACACATCGAACGCCGAACGGTCGATAGGTATACGAACCTTTTTACCCCGTAGGAATATATCTAAGGGATGAGAAAGTGTCATATCATATAGTGGTGTTAAAAATTGTAAACATTGAGCGAGAGTTATTCTGTATTTTTATATATATTTAATTATGTTTTTTCACAGTAATCCATAAATTAATATTGATAATCATAACACATTGTAAAATTTACAAGAAAAATTAGGAAGAAAGCCGAAATGATATATTTACAAACAAATCAGAATTTAATGTTTGATTCCAGGTCCAGGTCTTAACCTCTCATTGTTATTAAACCTTTGCATGTTTCCAAAAGGCCTTTTCTACACACATACATGCATTTACAATAATCCCAATATACAAATTTACTAGAAATTTCTAATAGAAAGTGAAGTGCTGCGAAATGTACATATCGATTTTTATTTAATTTTTTCATAACATAATGTGACACATATCTAAATTATATGAAACATATCTAAAATAGGTTTAATATTTATCATGACGTCACACATCATGAAATTTATCATGACGTCACACACTACATACATACCAAAACAGCGAGATCGTATACGCATACAGAATAGAATGCTCCTCGCTTCGCTCGCAGCAATTAAAATAGTTAGAATTTAAAATACTGCTATATACTACACTATACATAAAATCGATTTTATCTACAAAGAGTTTAAAAGATGTTACTTCAGTTTTTTCTAAAAAAAACTTGGGTTCTGAAATCATGACATACAGCACTTTTGCGGGTTTTCCCATATACTTTTTGTCTTCACCACTTAGTCTCGCTTAGAATATATTGCATTAAAGCGAGGCTTGGTATATATAGGATCAGGGAAAACCCGCATAAGTGCCTGCTTGCTGAAAAGGTCGCCATGTTGTTATAAATGTTAAGACAGTTATAATTGTTTTCGAATGAAGTCTAGTCAATCAGGGGTGTTTTGAGTATTCAAAAAAATATATGAAGGTAATATGTTGAGTGTCCCCAGGGTAGGTTTTTTAAATATTTTGCGCTAAAACCTTAAAATCATTTCCGTTCTACGCATGCATATATAGAAATTGATTTGAACGTTAAAACTTTTCGCAAAATATTCGTGTCTGATGTGATGTATTTGTTGTGTGTGCTTCGCTATTTGTTTATGAAAGTCTTCGAGTAACCTATATAATATATCAGTTAACGACCGGGCGTTGTCGACAAAGTCAGATTATATTGGGTAGATACTTACTTATAGCTATACTTGTTTTTGACAATAAAATAACTATTTGTTGTTCTCAACTTTTGGTCTCCAACCTGAAATATAACTCTTCAGTTTTACCACGTGAAATTTCTCCACATTCCAAGAAGATAAAGTAGCTTCATCTGAGCTAATCAACCTCTTCCCGTCTATATTCTTCTCACGAAACGTGTTTACACAGTATGCCATATTCAAGCTAGTCAAAAGTTCGCAAACTTCGGCCACAGTAAGGGACGACAAGTCGGTGGTTGAAGGCGAGCTTTTTTGGCGTGAGGATTCGGTTTTGTCAGCTGTGTCATTGTCTGATTTTGTGTTCGTATTACTCGCAGTAATTTCGTCCGCTTTCTGCTTTCGAATACTGGATTTTTTCTCCGGAATCGGAGGTTTCGTAGAACTGACAGTAGTGTTGCTTTCAAGATTTGTTACTTTATTTGAAACTCTGTCGTTGTTTGGCTTTGTGTTCGTATTTTCTGCAGTAATTTCGCCTGATTTCTGCTTTCGAATACTGGGTTTTTTCTCCGGAACTGGCGGGGGCTTTGTCGTAGAGTTGACAGCAGTGTTGCTTCTGAGATTTGTTACTTCATTTGAAGCTGTGTCGTTTGGTTTTGTCATCGTATTTTTCGTAGTAATTTCGCCTGATTCCTGCTTTCGAATACTGGATATTCTCTCCGGAACTGGCGGGGGTTTTGTCGTAGAATTGACAGTAGTGTTGCTTCTGAGATTTGTTACTTTATTAGAAGCTGTGTCGATGTCTGGTTTTGTGTTCGTATTTTTCGTAGTAATTTCGTCCGCTTTCTGCTTTCGAATACTGGATTTTTTCTCCGGAATCAGGGGTTTCGTCGTAGAACTGACAGTAGTGTTGCTTTCAAGATTTGTTATTTTATTGGAAGCTCTGTCATTGTTTGGCTTTGTGTTCGTATTTTCTCCAGTAATTTCGCCTGATTTCTGCTTTCGAATACTGGGTTTTTTCTCCGGAATCGGGGGTTTCATCGTAGAACTGACAGTAGTGTTGCTTCTGAGATTTGTTACTTTATTTGAAACTCTGTCGTCTGGTTTTGTGTTCGTATTTTCTGCAGTAATTCCACCGGCTTCCTGCTTTTGAATGTTGGATTTTTTCTCCGGAAGTGGCGGGCGTTTTGTCAAATCTCGATCGTCAGCCGTAGAACCGATGGCATCGTTGAAGTGAACGTTCTGATTGTGACAGCCAGTAACCGGTCGTCTCACATAATCAAGACGATTAGCTTTAGCAGTAATTTCGCCTGGTTTCTGCTTTCGAATGATGGATTTTTTCTCCGGCAGTGGCGGGCGTTTTGTCAAACCCGCATCGTCAGCCGTAGAACCGATGGCATCGTTGAAGTGAACGTCCCGATTGTGACAGCCAGTAACTGGTCGTTTCACTGAATCAAAACCATCGCGTTTTCCAGAGTTGACATCACGATTGGAACGAGTTGGTTTCGGTTTTATGACGGGAGGATTTGAGGGACGAATCTCCCTCTGCGAATTATTTCTAACACCGTCCTTGATTCTGGAAGTTACATCCGATATCTCAGTTCTAGATCCCAACTCATTGCTACCAGTAGAGATATCACCGTCTTGTTTTTGTTCTATCTCGGACATTGAAAAATTCCGCTGTGTTCTTTCACGGATTCTTAACTCTGAAATTGATACAGAAAACTGTGTGTTCATAGTTTGAGCATGCTTTTCATTCTCAGGCTTGGTTGCCGCAAAGATATTGTCAACTGACTTCGCGCGAAGTTCATTTCTGTTCGGTAGAGAATTACTGTTTTTTTTGTTCGGGGTGCCACTCCTCCCCGAGGGGGGGACTTTCGTGTTCCTCTTTAGGATCGCATGGTTCATGTGTGAAATCGCTGTCATGGAATTCGAAACAGGCTCGTATATATTCTCATCATCACGTGATGTACCACGTGAAGGTGAAAGTGTCTCTGACAGTGGTACAACACTGTCGGGGATACTTTCATACACGTGGTCTTCGTCTACCGGTAGGTCTCTGTCTACGGGTACTAGATATGCCTCTTCCTCTTCAGGTGGAGGTAGGAATTGACAGTAACCGTCCGAGGTTCCTGCCTTTTTGTTGATAACCTCCTCATATATCGCTTCCGTAAGTTCCGTTTCATTTCGTTTCTTCGCTTTTAAGACACAGCCAGTTATTTCTGGTGTTGTATTCCCGTCTGGTCCATCCAGATATTGACATATGTTGACATTATCGCCAGATAGATGATCGTATTTTTGGAAAAATTTTTTGTTCAAATAATCCACGGTCTTTAAGTAGACTAGATCATTACGAAGACATTCCTCAGACACCAAAACACTTAGCTTGGAATCCTTTGATATCAACCAAGCTTTCACCGAATCTGAAACCGGATTAAAATCGGTGGCAAGCACTTCAACTTCAAGTTCTGACCTCTTGCGAATTGTTACTTTGCCCAATTTTGAAACGAGTTTCTCGTGAAGGTTTTTTGGCCTTTCTTGGGTAGTCCCACCTGGCAAAAAGTGAACCTAGATAAAATAGGTCAAAAAAGTCGGATAAATAAAGGCTGAGAGCTATATTCTCTAGAAAGCTAGAGCAGTTTGGAAACCACATTTATAAAATAACATGTATATAACGCGTGTTATGATTGGTTGAAGCTGTGGGGCATCCAAACACGGAAATTTCGCGAGAATTAAAAACGAATTTATTATGGTTTGTTATTTTATAAAACAATGATGTTGCTCGAGTTATGAAAAACTCGAGTTAAGAAAAACTCGCAAAACACTCGCCTTCGGCTCGTGTTTTGCGCGCTTTTCTTAAATCTCGCAACATTCCCGCGTGTTTGGATCAGGCCATCCAAACACGAAATCCATTAAGTAATTGTTAAGTAATGGTTAAACGTAGGGCTAGAAAACTCGGTTTCTTGTAGTGTTAGAACATGTCTCCCATGCACTTATATCAATGTAATCTCGCTTGCACCCTCGACCTCAAAGTAGAACAGGTGGAATGTATTATAATACTGTAGCTGCCAAATTTGTATCTCTCAAAAGTAGACTTGCATTGCAAGAAAAAATGCAGCCGGTAGCACAGTTTTAAGTCTCTTTATCGTCACGATGTCAATCACATATTGTCAAAGAGTATAAATATATTATATACACAGTGGCTCTCCAAAAGTTTAAATATACTTTCATATTTCACTCAAATTTTCATGCCAAGTTTCGCTTTGTCATGCATATAGCAAATTTTAAACACTCTCTCAAATGCCTATATAAAAAATCAAATCCTCTCAGTAATTCATGACGACTTTTTTAATATGTTTGAAGCGAGAAGCCTCCGAAATAGGAAGCATAACAAACATTGTGGAAAGCCATGCACTGTATCTTCTCTTTGACATTATTCTTTGTATACCTTGAATTCTAGACATTAAATTGGGGAACCCGGTATGGTCAGTCTATGTCAGGACTTAATACATTAGGGACAGGAAACTCGTCTTAAAAGATGAAAAGAAAGATGATAGTAAAAACCCGTCTTCATATGAATGGAGATGGTTAAATTTATACGTATAAGATGGCTCGGGTAATGCTGAATAAAGTGTCGTTATCACTTATCGATCATTACGATAAACATTTGGTTTTAATATTTAGCCTAGTTCCGTCCATGCATGACCGTGTTGATATTTGAGAATATCGTGTGATTATCCGTCTAAATGCGAATTTAACACGAGTTTCTTGTCCAGACAAGAAATTTCAAACAAGAAACCTGTCTGACCGAAGCTACAGGAGACGAGTTTCCCGTCTTTGATAAGTTTCTACGACGAGTTCCGTGAATTCCCCAAGCATTCTCGAGTAGACTATATATAGAAAATGCTGATCGCATGTTTATTTAAACGACGGAATTTGTAGCATCAAAAATGCGAACAACGATGAATTTATTTGAATGTCTGCAACCGTTAATTTGACGTCCTTACTCCTTACTAAAGTCTAAACCCTTATCTATAAATGGCTTCGCAAACCTAATTACATTTATCCCCGTACCTTCATTGGAAAGCCAAACTTATCCGCAGCACTTTCTAAAGTATGTTCACGATTGTCCAGCAATGCTTCAAACTCTATACGACAATTAAACCGCAGTGGCTTCTTCACATCTTTGAATTTCACCACGAGATTCTCTGTGTCGATGTGTTCAATTCTTACTGTTGATCCAGGCTTGAAGTATCGCTCGATTCCCTCGTTCTGTTCATTTTCTGTCACGCGGAAGTATTTAACGTCTGGATAAAATTGTGGCATGTCGCAGACGTATACTGTATCGTATTTGCAATACTCTGTGAACGGACGAACTAAGAGCTTGCATTCGCACTTCTCTGGTATCGCTATGGGTCTTCCGTCGGAATCTTCAGCGATGAGTCGCCGCCTCTCGCGAATTGTGTGAAGCACGAAAACTTGGTTGGCTTCAAAACTGTGCGCTTCGTTCCTGCCATAACGGCCTTCCTCGGTAAGAACCAAGTTCGGAACATTGTATTTCGCGAGAACTTTGCTCAACGGATATGGTTTATCTCGCCATGACAGTGAGGCAACCAATTTACTTGTCTCCATCGTGAAGTAGCTGCGTCGTTTGAGAAAGCTCTACATATGACGCATCTCTGCAAAGTGAGACTCTCAAAGCCCCCCGCAACCTAATTTAGAAATTTCGGGTATAATTATTTGGAATATCTGAATACCTGAATGTCTAAGTATATTATTGTATCAGTGTGGTAAGAGCAACGATTAAAACTTTTGCTGAATCCGTGTTTTTTCCAATCTGAATGCATGCGTGAAATTTCGGATATTTCTCGTTTCCCCGACCTCGTATTGTTTGATATTTCGTAATTCTTCAAAAGCTGTCATTCAGTTATTATGCTGTCATGGTAGATCGTATTACGCTAAAATATCGGGTTCAAAAAGGTTGTATGTTATGAAACCTAAACACATTAGGCCTACAACAGCTAATAGGTATCAACTTTCGAACTATTTCTATTCCATAAAATAGATTATTTAGATTAAATACACGTAGAATGGCATAATGGCCCTGTGACCCGGTTCAATCTTTCATACAACTTGCAATACAATTCTACTTTTGAGAGATGTAAAACTGCGAATAACAATAATAATAACACCATGGACGTTTCTCGATATTGAGGACTCTTCACTAATTTACATCCCTTAAAAGTAGAATTGTATTACGACTTGCAAGGAACATTAACCCGTGTAAAGACTGCTTTCTATACTGTCGCGTTTTTAGCACCTTCGTGCGTACACGCAGGTAAAAGTTTAATAAATGTTTTTAATTTTGTTATTTAACATCAAGGTCAACAAATGCGTACTAAACTATGCGGAAAACTTAGTTATTTTGATTTAATCACTTAGTTTTTTTGAACATAACTTATATAAGCATTTAGGCTTTTACCGGCGTGTACGGGCATGTATGGGCATGTATGAAAAACGCCACAGTGGAAAACACTTCACAACAGCGCTAACAATCCTCCAAGACAGGTTACAGCGGCTTCTGCACATCGGTTCTCCTCATAACATTACGGGACTCCATGATTTAGAAATTGCCTAAGTTTTCCATGTTTTGAATTTCTTTGAACATTAACTGAAATAATAATGAACTTGCAATGGTAATAATAAATATCCCGATAGGGCAGGATATTTTAAGAGGATTAGCGATTCAATATGTAAGAGTTCTAGGAATTCAAAGCGTTTGTTTGCATTGCCGACTGTGAGCCACCTTTAAGTTTTAATATCATAAGCTTCGCCTTGCAGGAATAGAAACTTATTTTTAAACAAAGTGTTACCAAACATAGTTGGCTTTTTTTGGAAGCTTTATATTCGCAATAATTATAAAAGAATGAGTCCAGTTCCCAGCCCCCCTGTCGAGGACCTTAGCCCCTGTGTCGTGGAATCTCTGGCGCCACCTCTGAGCCCATTATGCTCGTACTTTGGATTTACCTCTACGATAAACTAATCTATTGAAGAACGCATTTGTTATCGCCCGTATGCACCGTCCTCTTAGGTTCCGCGGGCTCATAATATTGATCATCACATGACATATCCTCGTCACTCACGCTCTCGTACACGTGATCACCACATGGCATATCCTTGTCACTCACGCTCTCGTACACGTGATCATCCGTTGGCGACTCGTAATCGTCTATTTCATTTATCTTAAGGATACCATCGTGGTATTCTCCGGTGTCTGTCACTTGATCAATAACCTCGCAATCTTTATTATTTTTTGGCGACGATTCCTTTCCATTTTGCGAGGAAGGATCGCACGTTTGCGCGGTTGGAGCACTCGGGACGGGTGTTCCTGGAGTTGTGTCGTTCTCGTCAGAAATCTTCGCTTCCAAAATGAAGCCGATTATTTCCGGTGTGGGATCTCCATCTGGCCTGTCTAGATACTGACATTTGTCGAATTTATCCAATTCTTTTAGGTCGTATTTGTCGTGAAACTCGCTGTTGTAATGGCGTAGCATCCTCCTAAAAGGAAGATCTTTCACAAGAATCCTCTGTGCCACGTAAACGCTTAGCTTCGATTCTTTTGATATTAGCGAACATTTCACAGGCGATTTGGGAAAAGTTAAGGCATCAGAATCTATGCTCGATGCAAACGCTTCCAGCTTACATGTTGATTTACGCGAAATCGTTACTTTTCCGACATTTTCCAAGTCATTTTCAAGCTCATCATCCAGTTTATTCTTGTCATTTCCACTGGACAAAAAGCGCACCTGTGCGATAGGAAACAAATCAAATGAAAGGTTTTGATGATCGAAGAACAATTTAGAACTTACAGAGCTATACAGTATGAATAAAGTTAGTTTAGGTTTCCTCCTGTAGTAACACTGGATCAAGAAGAGATGATCCTTGCTGAACCTCTAGGAAGAACAGTTTAGACTGATAGAACTATCCAGTATAAATAAAGTTAGTTTCGTTTAGGTTTCCTCCTGTAGTAACACTGGATCAATAAGAGATGATCCTTGCTGGACCCCTAGGAAGAACAATTTAGAACTGATAGAACTATCCAGTTTAGATAAAGTTACTTTAGTTTAGGTTTCCTCCTGTAGTAACACTGGATCAATAAGAGATGATCCTTACTGGATCTCTAGGAAGAACAGTTTAGACTGATAGAACTATCCAGTATAAATAAAGTTAGTTTAGTTTAGGTTTCCTTCTGTAGTAACACTAGATCAATAAGAGATGATCCTTGCTGGACCCCTAGGAAGAACAATTTAGAACTGATAGAGCTATCCGGTATAGATAAAGTTAGTTTAGTTTAGGTTTCCTCCTGTAGTAACACTGGATCAATAAGAGATAATCCTTACTGGACCTCTAGGAAGAACAGTTTAGAACTGGTAGAACTATCCAGTATAAATAAAGTTAGTTTAGTTTAGGTTTCCTCCTGTAGTAACACTGGATCAATAAGAGATGTTCCTTATTGGACCTTTAGGAAGGACAGTTTAGAACTGATAGAGCTATCTAGTATAAATAAAGTTTATTTAGCTTAGGTTTCCTTCTGTAGTAACACTGTATAACACTAGAGATAATCCTCGCTGGACATTCGCTTTTGTAGTAGAAGCATTCATACCTTTATTGGCAAGCCAAATGCCTTCACAGCGTCTTTCAATTTGTAAACGCGATAATCCAAAAGCGCCTCAAATGCTATACCACAACTAAACGGTAGAGGATGTTCAACATCTTTAAATTTCACCTCGAAATTTGTTTCGTCAATATGGTCGACCTCTGCGATGGATCCCAGCTGAAAGAATCTTGCCTCTCCTTCGTTTTGTGCATTTTGAATAACGCGGAAGAACTTGACGTTGGGATAAACGTTTGACATCTGGGAGACGAATATGGGATCGCGTCCGCAATTTATCGATGAAGGACACACTAAAAGACTCCTCTTGTACCTTACTGGGATCGCTATAGGTCGACCGACCGAATCCTTTCCAATAAAGTTCTGCTTCGTACGGAATTCATGTAAGAGTAGAATCTGGCTGGCTTCAAACGTACATGCATCGTTGATGCCGTCGTGTTTTTCTTTAATACGAACCAAGTTTGGAACTTTGTATTTCTCAAGAACTTCGCACAGAGGACGTGAGTCCCCGCTCCATGTTAGGGAATCAATCGATTTCACTAGCTCCATTGTAAATACGGTGAAGATTTCATTACGATAACTACAATATTAATTGTAGACGTCCTCGTAGACGGCGCCCAATAATTCATGCAGGGATTATGTTTTGAAGAATCCAACAGCTTTAGACTTTGAAATTACAATAATCTACAGGGTGTCTCAGGAAATTTACACGACCTTACAAACTCTGATTCTTTCTGTCTGGGGTACCTAAGAAGTGCTGTTAATTACTTCTTGCGATGCATCTGTTTTGTAGATTCGAATAGTTTGCTTTACGGAGTTATGCTGGAAGGAAAATTTTGTGAACGCACTTGATTTAATTCGAATATCTGTTGCAAAATCGTTCAAGAGCTATTAACATAATAAGATATTTGTTTGTTTAAGACTAATCTTAAAAATTTTTCATCGAAACAGTTCAAACGAGGCGAACGATCTCAAAATGAGACGAAGGATCCCAAATTTTACATCTTCGAGGAAATTTTAGTCGGATTTATTTTTGTAGATAGTTTCCAACGTCAAACGTTTTTCATGTGGGAATTAACATTAGGTTCGTCACATGAAAGGTTTGGTGTTTGAAACTGACTAAATTGTTTTCAGTTTCACAATGACAGTTTTATAAACTTTATATGTATATAATTAGATCAAAATTATCTGGTTAAGATAATGGCATCTTCACAAAATTAAATGTCGCATTTTTTATCTAGAGGCATGTTTACGCTGGCGACATCGCGGCCCACGTTGACAGAGCTTGTCCCCATTCCACCGTTAGAGATTACTGGCCGCTCGCTACCGAGGTAAAAGATGAGCTTACCATATTAAGTTTTGTTCGTACGGTCCGATTTTGTCAGATCCAATGCACTTCTGATGGATGTGATATAGTCTTTTGTCTTACGGTGTATATGGGCTGCAAATTAACTAAACCCAATGCAGCACTTTTTTATCAATAACAGACTACATTCCATACGTCAGAAGTAAATTGGTCTGACAAAATTAGACCGTGTAAACAGACCTTTATAGCCTAGTTTATAGGCCGAATTTTGGTCACGTCTATATAAGACAACTATAACGCAATTGATAATCGATGGTATGAGGTAAATTGGTTAATTGTTTTCATCAATGATGTTATCTTGAAACTTAATAATGCAATTCGCCAGCAAAATATCTGCAAGTTTTCATTTCAATTTTCACAGCGTAATAAATTCGTTGAGCTTGACTGATTTCATTTCAAAACAAACCATGCTAACATTCCGAACTTTTTCACTGCAAATTGAAGTCCAGCCGAAGTACTCAATATCGGAAACTTGTTAAATAAAATGGCAAATCTTACGTACTCGTCAGCTGTTTGTGAAAAATACGCTACGAGCGATTTCAGCTTGTGTTTTAAGATAAAGATTTTCGAGGTTAGAAATACCACAGTATTAGTAAACACTAGTGAAAAGCTATAAATATATCCTCGCTTCCCGACGAAGTCGCTCGTCCCAGGTATCCGTTTGCAGTGCGCGGGCGGTCAGCTCAAATATATGAAGACGTCCAACTAAAACTCTCAGAATCCAATCGTAAGGGTATTTTTTTCGCCAGAGTAAAAAATATCGCCAGGTGGAAAATATTAAGTTGAAGCGCGCCTTTTTGTTTAGAAATGCGGTGATTTCATTGGATCATGTCGATGTACCAAACGATATGTTGGTCTGGCCTGCATTTCATAATGGCGTTGCAGCTGGCCTAAGAATTACCTGGAATATCACAGGTATATAGTATTTCTATTTTGAGTTTGTCTATATTACTGGCGTACATCAGTAAACTGGATTGCTCTACTGCCCTGAAATCCAGCTAGGTTGTTCCTTTCAAGACTAATTTCAAAATTACTTCTGTGTTAATTTTCCGTGAAATATGTTTCTGTTAATTTTCTACAAAATTGTAACGGACCAATATCTACAAATGGAGAACATAACTTAGCATTAAATGTGGTATAACCTGAACTGCCTAAAATAGACAAAACACTTCTCGACGTTTCGACCTGAGGGCCTAACTCTCATACTAAATCTCCTGACGAAGGACCTCAGGTCGAAATGTCGAGAAGTGTTTTTGTCTATTTTAGGCAGTTGTTATACCACATTTGATGCTAAGTTATTTGAAGTCGCTTCCATGCTGCTCCCTGGTTATATTGGAGAGCATAATTACAGCAGTTAAGTTATGGTTTCATACAAGATGATGATGAATAGATAGTGTCGTGATAGAATAAAGCAAAATTACTTTCTTTCCAGCTAGTTCTACCATTTTTCTTTCTACCATAGCTGGTTCTACCACTACATCTTCACCTAGTCTCTTCACCCACAAACAACCGGCAAAGATTGAATCAATTTTCCATTTTCAGATCGACAGCACGTGGATAGTGTATCAGAGACCTCAAGATAACCTGCTCACAAACGAGCATGCGGGATTCCTGATGGCACTTGGGTTGACTGGACACTTATCAAACCTCGCTATAATGAATGTTCATAATTACCTTAGCAAGGTAAAATGCAATTATTTAGTTTGCCTTCTAATCAGAGACCGGTTGTATCAAGCCCGTTTATCTTAAACAGTGGTTAAGTTCAAAGTAGAAAGCAAGTTTCTCTTTTTATTTTACAAGTGAACCAAATGTTTCTAACTTAATACAAAGATACTCTTAACAACTATATAATCAGTGCACAATATTCAAGTTGACTCATTCAAGAAAGACGTAAGAGTGTTGTTTAATTTTGACTTATCCACCGGTTAAGCTAAACAGGCTTGATACAACCGGCCCCAGGCGAGCTGCGTGGCAAATTGGCGAGCGAATAACCCCTTCTGCTTGGGGATTCAAAATGGGGTAAAATGAATAGTCTTGACCGAGTATCATGACTAATGTTGTTCTCACATACCGTAGGGCCATAAGTTAACAAGCGTTGGACTGCTCATCGGATTAGCAGCAACCAAGTAAGTGTCTATGAGTCTATTTCAACCAAGTTAGTCTCCATATGTCACTCCAGTGTGCGCGCTCTGTTTACTGAGCCCCCAGAGTGTGCACAGAGGAAAGACCCTGGGTACGAGGTTGGAAGAAGCCCTCTTAGCTTCAATTCCGACAGAGTGAGCGTTCCAGTATCATTTGAGTTCACTGGCCCCACCCCTCTCCCTACTAGTTTCTAGTCTCTTCTTTAATATATCTGATACAACATATTTAGACGGGGCAGTATGGACGCGGCTATCACAAAGATGTTAAGCATTCATATAGACGCTCTTCTGCCGCCAACATCAGCAGAGATTGACGTTCCAGTTTGCGTCATGAGTGCAGCGGTTGTGGGGATTGGTTTGGTCTACCAGGGAACAGGCCATCGCTTGATGACTGAAGTATTACTCTCAGAGATAGGTTAGTTAGAATTTCAAGGGGGAAAGTCCTAGTTTATACAATTTATGTGTAAATAATTTACACCTTCTTGTCAAATTTTGTGACTGTCTAAAACGATGTGTGAAAGGGGTGGTGGTAACACACTATTTGTCGTGTAAATACTGTATTATTTTCATTTCAATATCCGTTATAGGTCGACCTCCAGGACCTGAAATGGAAAATGCTCAAAACAGGGAATGCTACTCCTTGTCAGCTGGGCTGGCTTTGGGACTTATTATGTTAGAAGTAAGCAGCCATTGATAGTTCGTTTAATTTAGGTTTCCTCCTGTAGTAGCACTGGATCAATAAGAGATGATCCTTACTGAATCTTTAGGAAGAACAGTTTAGAACTGATAGAGCTATCCAGTATAAGTAAAGTTAGTTTAGTTAACTAGGTTTCTTCCTGTAATAACACTAGATCAATAAGAGATGATCCTTGCTGGACCTCTAGGAAGAACAGTTTAGAACTGATAGAGCTATCCAGTATAAAAAAGTCAAATGAAACTGATGCCAATGAATTTTGTTGTATTTTTTATCCAGCATGGTCATGGAACAGTCGGGATTTCAGACTTGAATATTTCAGATCATCTTTATTACTACATGGTTGGTGGCCATAAGAAGCCTCAGGTATTTAATCCTGTTCTTGTGTCATTTTATTGATAAACGTCGATAAACGTCTTGCAAATCTTCGTGAGCATTGTTGTGATAGAGTACCCTGTTTTAGACTGGCGCTCAAAGTGAAAAATTCAAATCTCCAAGCTATTTAATAAAAGTACGTTCATTTTAATGTCTCGTTCTTGAGAGTTTTGGTGGTGACTCAGAGATTTTTCTGTGTCTAATTGTATAAATCATTGTGATTTAGGAAGGAGATAATGTTGACATCAATGTGACAGCACCCGGAGCAATACTCGCGTTGGGACTTATATATTTAAAGAGCAACAATGTGTAAATATACCAATATTTATTCATAGTTTAACCACACAGGCAGTAAATTAAATGTGTCCAATTCTCAGTTTTGAAACTCACTGACTTTAGAAGACTAAAATGTAACCTGTAACACTGAAACTTGCTTTGCTTCAACAATTCAGAGTTACAGCGATTACTCTGGGGATTTGGCATTAGTAAACTTCATATGCTGAAGGATTTATAAAACGTTTTAGAGTAAAAAGCGATTTTTCAGTTCACTTTATCAAGTCTTTTGTGATTTGTGTTCATTAGGATTGTTGCATCGTGGTTCTCCGCACCAGAGACTCCTGTTTTAGCTGAATTCGTGAGACCTGATTTCCTAATGTTGAAGGTATATATAACTTCAAAGTTTCACTGAAAAGTTTGAGAAAGAATAACGCTTTTCACTTCACTCATTTCTTCTGTGTTCTGCTGAAGACTTTAAAAGATTCTAAAAAACTGGATTGCTACTAAAATCTTTACGAGGTTAATTTCAAAATGCCGTTTTTCTGAACATGTTTTGTAGCTTCTGTCGAGAGGTTTGGTCATGTGGGACCACATTCTTCCCTCT